CCCCCCCCCCCCCCGCCCCATCCACCCTAGTCTTAGATCATCTTTCTGACTGGCACTCGGTTCCTTTTGCTCTACCCTAAAGGAAAACCAAAGGTCTTTTATTTTCATGGTCTGGTGTGTGATCTTGTGCTCCAAAGGAACCCTCGAGGGGTCAGAATCCCACTCACCTGTTTACACCGTACTTGTGTAAAATGAGGGGGATCTTAAAGTTCTCAAGCAAGTTTAGTATCGACCCTGAGTTCTGCATGGATGTGAGAGATGCAAAGAGCACGTGTGTCAGTACGGGAGGCTGCGAAGTACGATAGGACTGATTCTCTTAAAAGAGGCAGAAGCCTAGATCAAAGAAGCAGAAGAAAAACATTAGGCAACTCAAAATATAACACTACTGACTTCGGGTATCGTGGATCCAGGATCTCAGATCACATCTTCCATTTCTCTTGTTTCACAGGTGCTCTGTGTGAGAAGGATGATGGCCTCCAACAGTCCAAGACTTCGCTTACAATTTTAGGAAGAAAGATAATTTTCTCCAAAAGCTCTGGGGGGAAAAATATCTCAGGCGGACTCTATTTGACTCAGTTAGAGAAAGTATCTGTTCTTTCTCTGATCCAGTCACTGAGATTAGGCAAATAGGATACCCTGTTGGGCAGGACATGGCCATGCCCACCCCTGTCACCAAGAACAGGTAGGCTAGAATTAGTATTGGTCAAACCACAAAGAACAGTTCCTTATAAAAAATAAAAATGAAAATAAGGGAGGATTTTCTCCCCCAAAAGAATAAGGAAGGAGTTCTGGGCAGACCAGTACAACCAGTCTACTTTAGAAAACTCTGACCATTCTATCATTATTTTATGTTGTTCAACCGGAGAATTGGCGCCTCCAGCTGAAAAGAGGCCAGATTTTGGAGGCAGACAGGTCTGAGTTCAAGCCCAAGGTCTGACACTGAGCTCTTTGAACCTCCGTTGTTAGCTCGCAGCATTGTAATGTAGTGATTCATTCCTGAAATTCTGGGTAGCAACCTTGAAAGGATTAAAAGAAGTAATCACAGTGTAAGATGGCCACAGAATTTTGACATCGCATGATGTGCTCAAAATGCTTGTAAGTATCAGGCTGGGTCAAGGGCCTTCTCTGTTTGAGAACAGTTTCCTGCCTTCACCATGTCCTTTCATACTCAGAAGGCCAGGGTCTTGCATGTTACAGTCAAGACACAGTCTCTCCGGGGCATCAGTTGGGGGCGTTACACCTCTCAGCCATCTGTCTGCCGGACATCATCATAACAGCATGTATGCCCAGGGAGAGCATAGTAAATGCGTTTCACACATTGATCCAAATTCAGCAACGTACCTGTGAAGACCGTGGAGCGAGGAGGGGCAGTTGATGGCACCAGCACCAATCGGTCACAATGCATTCTGTAGCACAGAACAGGAATCCCAATTCACACACCCAAGCACCACCGTGTTGAGGGAAAGAGGAGAGTCCGTACCATTCTGTGACCGTCTCTTAGGAGAAGACATGTCCCCGAAGCTCTCCGGCAGAGCCCGCCCAGGTCCCATTGGGCAGAATTGGGTCTCCTGACCAATCTTGAGCCATCGCTGTCTAAGGGATGGAATCATCATGATTAGCTTGGATACATCATCTGGGTGTGGAATGGATGTGGGAGGTGGGGACTAAGGCTGCCCCCAGGGACCAATTTACATAAGAGATGTCGAGGGCCTGGTGGGTGCTGAGCTACAAATAGCTCCCTTCTCTTTCTGTCTTGGAATTGATACTGTGATCAGATGGCGTGTCCAAAGAAGGCCAATGTCAGAGAGCTGTCCCATCCAGGGATCACAAGGTCTTTGGCAGGGACCTGGTGAAGGCTATTTGTTTGCAAGAAACTGAAACTGAGCTCCGTTCAAGCTCGATCAAATAAAAAAGGGTTGTGAAATGATCGGGGAGAACTGTAAGACACTTCCCAGCGTCTCCCCAGCTCCGGTGCCTCTCTCTACCTGCTCACCATACTGCAGTGGGCTGCTTTTTGAAAACAAACATGCTGGGGCGCCTGGGTGGCTCCGTCGGTTGAACGTTCCAACTCTTGATTTTGGTTTAGGTCATGATCCCCAGGTCCTGGGATCGAACCCCGTGTCAGTCTCTGCACTGAGCGTGGAGCCTGCTTGGGATTCATTCTCTCTCTCTCTCTCTCTCTCTCTCTCTCAATCTGTCTCCCTCTGCCCCTCTCCCCCACTCATGCTCTCCTTCTCCCTAAAATTAAAAAAAAAAAAAGAATAAAAACACACGTGTTACTTCCAGTGAATCATCTTATACCTAAAATTCTTTCTTTTCCTTTTCATAAATTCTAATCTGCTTTTTGTTTCAATGCCCAGGAAGACAGAAGCACCAGAGAGAGGTAAGAGACTTCTACAGAAGATGCCCTTATCTGGGTTAAATAAATTGTCAGGATTTTCATAATTTTTGGTGGGTGCGTAACTTAGGACCAGGCCTGTAGAAGGCTATTGGCTAATATCTATTTAAAAATTTTAACTGCATAGGGGCAGCGGGCAGGCTCAGCCAGCTGGCTGGCAGGGGACTCTTGACCTTGGGGGTGTAGGTTTAAGCCCATGTTGGGTGTAGAGATTACTTACATTAAAGTCTTAAGGGACACCTGGGTGGCTCAGTCAGTTAAGCATCTGACTTCGGCTCAGGTCATGATCTTGTGGTTGGTGAGTTCGAGCCCTGCGTCCAGCTCTGTGTTACAGCTCAGAGCCTGGAGCCTGCTTTGGAATAAATATCATTTTTGAGAGAGAGAGAGAGAGAGAGAGAGAGAGAGGGAATGAGTGGGGGAAGGGGCAGGGAGAGAGGGAGACACAGAACCCAAAGCAGACTCCAGGCTCTGAGCTATCAGCGCACAGCCCGATGTGGGGCTCAAACCCATGAACCATGGGATCATGACCCAAGCAGAGTCAGATGCTTAACCAACTGAGCCACCCAAATGCCCTTACATTTTTATTTTATTTTAAATGTCTGTTTATTTATTTTGAAAGAGAAAGCACCAGCAAGGAAGCAACAGAGAGAGGAGACAGAGAATCCTGTTTTTAAGTTTTTATTTTAATTCCAGTTAGTCAACATACATTGTTCTATTAGTTTGTTTTGTTTTTTAAAGTGGGTAGGAAATAGAGGGGCGCCTAGGTGGCTCAGTCAGCTAAGCGCCCGACTCTTGATTTCAGCTCAGGTCATGATCTCCCGGTTTGAGTCTGAGCCCCATGTTGGGCTCCGTGCTGACAATGCAGAGCCTGCTTGAGATTCTCTCTCTCCCTCTCTCTCTGCCCCTCCCCCACTCTCTCTCCCAATATAACTAAAAAAAAAAAAAAGAGTAGAAAAAATATAAATATAAGTATAAATATAAATATAAATGTATGCTTGTATAGGCACAGAGTATCTCTGGTAACCTAGTTCTCCTGAGGCAAAGCAAAAATGGCTAGGGACAGGGTACATTCTTTTGTACCAACTGGTGCGTGTGCGGGGGAGGGGCAGAGAGAGAGGGGGACATGGAACCTGAAGCGGGTTCTGCGCTGACAGCAGAGAGCCCAGTGCGGGGCTCAAACTCACAAACCATGAGATCGTGACCTGAGGCGAAGTTGGAGGCTTAACCTACCGAGCCACCCAGGCGCCCCCACCATTAATTTATTTTTTTTAATTAATATCCTAGTGGACACTTATGCTTAGCCCAGATTCCCTTGGATCCCTTTTACCATTTCTATGTGCACCTCCCCTGTTTGCATGCGGGTGATTCAGTTTCCAGTGCTCACCCCCCCCCACCCCCACCCCCGGGGGGGGGGGGGGGAGCCGTCTACAGAAGCCTGGACTCTGCTTCTGCAACCACTTTGTCCTGGGGGGAGCTGGAAAAACTGGAGAGTTTAAGTTCCTGGCCTGGCCCCATTCCCTACCCCCGTGTGCTTTAGCCCGTGAGGGATCAGAGCCGAAAGGAAAGCCCCACTCCAATGCTTCAGGGCAGGACAACGGCAGAGACCGTGACCTCCCCTCTAGAACCCCCAATGCCCAGGGGGATCAAGCAGATGTTACCCCCGCCCCCTTCAGGATTTTGTCTGAAATCACATCCCTGTTTGCCTTCTTCCCTGGCCCTGTCCTGTTTCCCTTACCGGTTTCTTTCTCTTGGGGGTCCTTTCTTTTTTTTTTTTTTTTTTAACGTTTTTATTTATTTTTGGGACAGAGAGAGACAGAGCATGAATGGGGGAAGGGCAGAGAGAGAGGGAGACACAGAATCGGAAACAGGCTCCAGGCTCCGAGCCATCAGCCCAGAGCCCGACGCGGGGCTCGAACTCACGGACCGCGAGATCGTGACCTGGCTGAAGTCGGACGCTTAACCGACTGCGCCACCCAGGCGCCCCTTGGGGGTCCTTTCTTAATAAATCACCTGCACAAGAAGCTTCATCTTGGGGTCTGCTTCTGGAAGGAAAAAAACAAAAAACAAACCCAACATATTTGTTTATTTGCTTTCATGAAAACGACATCTATCTTTTTGTTTAAGTAAATACATCATACAGACATTTACTCTGGCTGTAAAAATTCAAGTGAAACTGAGCCCAAAGCAATGTTAAATGTCCCAAGTCCCAAGTCGGTGGCACCCTGAGGAGGCAAATTCTGCTCTTGATGAGGGGTGTGGCCTTTCAGACCTTCGACTGTATGTTTTCACTCAGACGCGTGTTTTGTCTGCTGGGATAGCTTTGTGTGTTTCACTTGACCAACTGCCTTTCTTCTTTAAGAATCTGTCTTGAATATTTTTCCGTGTCAGCACATTTAGCCCAGGCTCCAGGGTGACCTTCCTAAACTGCCTGTGACTTAAAGCAGCTCCCCAATTTAGGGGCCTTTGAAGTAATGCTCCCCACTGCTCCTGAAGGCCCCGCCCACCACTTCCGCCTCCTCTCACCCTCTTCACACCCCTCCAGCCTCGCTGGACTCCCCTTGTTTACTTGAATGTGCCTCAGGGCCTTTGCACGGCCCATTTCTTCTTTCTAGAATATTCTCCCCTTTGCCTAGCTAACTCCTACTTACCTTTGAGGTCCCAGCAGAAAAGCCTTCCCTGAGGCCCCAGGCTGGGTGACATCTCATGCCCTTCGTCTTTATAATACCCTGTATTTTGCCTTTGGAGTCCTTGTAAATAATTAAGTCGTCTTGTCATTAATTTGCATTGGTAATCGTGCTGCTAATTAATGAGTTAATTATTCATTTTTTTTCTCCCTGACTGGAGTGCAAACTCCAGGAGGGAGGCCTCCCTTCTGTCTTGTTCGCTCACCTCGCGAGGGACCGGCACAGTTCCAAGCAAGGAAGCTCAGTGGTTGTTGAGTGAGTGGAAGGAAGAAGGGAAAAGCCACCAGACGGCTTCTCTCTGTTTCCGTCTCCGTGAGGCAGCCCTGACTCTTGTCTCTTGTCTTTTTTTGTTATATATATATAAAAAAAAATACAAAGGGCTTTTTTGTTTTGTTTTGTTTTGGGTTTAAGAAAATTGAGATGGCAGCTACCACTTTCTAGATAAATTTTAGCTTGCTTCTTCACATCCAGAGCCATTTGGGGCCATCTGTCCAGCTCTGATCCTCTGAGAATTGACCCCTACCACAGAGAAGCGTGTTATACATATGGTTCCTCCCCAGAGGCCATAGCTGATGAGTCTTGAGCTCGAAACCTGTCTCAAACTGGGTCACTCAGAGTCCTTGGGCCGAGAATTTGGAATTTATTGCAGAGCTCCAGAACTGACCCGGCAATTTACCACCAGATGCTGAGGAAAGCAAGAAGGAGGAGGAGGAGAAGGCAGACTACAGAGGGAAGCTAGACCAGACTCTCATTCATTCAGTAAATATTCACTGACCAGGGCGCCCGGCCGGCTTGGTCAGAAGAGCACACGACTCTGGATCTCGGGGTCGTGAGTTCAAGTCCCACACTGGGCGTAGAGATGACTTAAAAAGAAAATTGATTTTTGAAAATAAGTGAATAAATATTCACTAAGTCAGGCACTATTCCGTGTGCTCAGGACACGCCGTGAAACACCAAAGGAAAAATCCCTGCTCTCTTGAGGGTACATTTTAATAGGGAACAGACAGTACGTCATATCAACAAGGAAAATAATAAATGGTGATAGGAGCTGAGGAGGGAAAAGAAAGCAGGCTAAGAAGTAGGGCAGGAAGTGTAGGGGCAAGAGAGGGCAAGTCCTGAAATGTTAATTAAGCTGTCCAGCGAGGGTTTTACAAAGACGGGGATTTTTTTTTTTAACATATATTTTACTTAAAAAAAATTTTTTTAATGAATTTCTTTATTTATTTTTGAGAGAGAGAGAGAGAGAGAGAGAGAGCAAGTGGGGGAGGAACAGAGAGAGAGGGAGACACAGAATCCCAAGCAGGCTCCAGGCTCCTAGCTGTCAGCACAGAGCCTGACGCGGGACTCGAACTCACC